GGACCAGTGTGATCATCTAATCTGACTTCCTGCGTAACACAGGCCACAGAACTTTCAGGAACTCATTCCTGTTTGGATTAAAGCAGATCTTTAAGAAAAACATCCCAGTCTTATTTAAAAATTGCCAGTGATGGAGACTCCACCACAACCCTTGGTCAATTGTTCCAAGGGTTAATTACCCTCACTGTGAAATCTTTCTATCTTCTACTTCCCGCCATTGGATCTTGTTAGACCTTTGTCTGCTAGACTGAAGAGCCCACTAGCAACTATCTGTGCCCCATTTGGGTACTTACAGACTGCGATCAAGTCACCCCTTAATCTTCTCTGTTAAACTGAATAGATTTTGCTCCTCGAACCTATCACTATAAGGCAGGGGTTCTAATCCGTTACCCATTCTCACGGCTCTGCTCTGAACACTCTGCAGTTTATCAACATACTTCTTGAATTGTGGACACCAAAACAGGACACAGTATTCTGGCAGCAACAGCACCAGTGGTAAGATAACTTCTCTGCTTCAACTCAAGACTCCCCTGTTTATGCACCCAGGGGAAATATGGTGAAATATTGTTTTACTTCTTTTATCTGACTTGGAGGGATTGGCTTGCAGGCTTCCATCCTTAACACATGACATTTTTCTAATGGTGTGCTAATTGCTTATTTTTCTCTCTCTGAAGGATATATTAGGCTTGGCTTGAGGATGAATTCCTCCTCTAGGAGAAACCAATAGATCTGGGCAGTCACTTGGAGAATGGTATTGAGTAGCAGGCATAGTTTCGCTTTCCCCACAGCTGGGAGAAAGATCTTTGCAAATGTTGGGCTTGATCTTGCTGTCCCTGCTCACACAGAAAGCCAGATTCTGATCTCAGTAACTCTAGCACAAATCTGGAATAATGCTGTTGAAACAAATGGCGTTAGTCTTGATTTACACTCATGTAAGTGAGAACAGAATCTGGTGCAAAGTCACTGAAGTTAATAGGAGGTCTGCTTAAGCAAAAATGGCAGGAGTGGGACCGTCTGTAGTCAGCTCCTACAAAAAAACCCACCTGTGTGAACTTTGAATTAGGGTTGTTACATTGCATATCGCTCCAATGCAAACCATACACAGCAAGGAATAATGCCAGTTGCAATTGTCCTCTGAAGCGTCATTATGCCGAGTTTGGAAGATGAAGTTCAACCATTAAGGTGTGTAACCCTCCGATGTTAGTGCTGAGTTAAGTGCAAATCTCAATGCGACCTGAGCTACAGAGTTGTTACCAACACAATCAGAATACGTCAGACAGTACCGTCTGGTTAAAACACTGGTTACACTGTGTTATTCCAGAGTAACTCCTGTGACTTCTCCCCTGTACCTGAGAGCAGAAGTTGGCTTGGAGGGTTTGTTTATAGGAGTCACGTATTGAAATGCTGAAGAGTAGCCTCACTATCTGGGTAAGCACCACAGACCAGGTCAATATATTGCTACTCCTTAATTGTATGACGGTAGCACTTAGGAGAATCAAAGAACAGAGCCCCTCAGCCCCATTGTGCACGGCGCTGTACAGTCAGCGGTAAAAAGATACTCTCTGCCCCAGTGAGCTCACAGACTAGGTTAGGACAATATACAACGGGTGCCGGAAACAAAGGAATGAGGGGGAGAGACTGAGGTGAACTTATGCATCCGAAGAAGTGGGCTGTAGTCCACGAAAGCTTATGCGCTAATAAATTTGTTAGTCTCTAAGGTGCCACAAGTACTCCTGTTCTTCTTTTTGAGGTGAACTAAGTCAGTCACTGTACGCTAAGGTCTCTGCTCACCATGGGCCCGATCCAGAGCCCAGTGGCGTCACTGGAAAGACTGCCACTGATTTCAGTGGAGCCGGCCCCACCTGCCTCTCTATGATAAGCATTGCAGGTAACGTGGCAGGACTGAGGCCTCCGGTGGGACTGGAAGGCGAAGGTAGAAATTTGGCTCATTTTTGCAAGAGGTTTTCATACAAGAAAGCCCTAGTCCGTTGAAGAGAGAAGTGACCCACGGACAGTGATGGCTGGGGATGTTGGCAGAGAGAAAGTGAGTGGTCAATATGGGGAGGCGTTAACAGAGCAGCTAGGCAGGTCAAGGCAAGTCAGAAAGGGATCTACGGGCCAGAAGCGTGAGTCGGTGGAAATATTCTCTTTTTGTCCCCCACTGTTGAGTCTGGTTTCTATGTCCCGTAGTGATAACCAACAGCAGCTTTCCTCTCCCCTATGTACTATGGCCTGATGTCAGTCTTCTTGTCACATCCTCTGGCTAATGTAGCCTGCAAGCTCTAGGGAGCAGGGACCTTGTCTTCCTTATTTGTACAGCACAGTGCACCTAAGGGACATTATGGACATCACCATTTCTCAATACCAGGCAACATGGTTCTGTTTCATTATCCTGCTCAAGTGATTGAATTCCTTCAGCATCAACAGGGTGAAAAATCCAGGAGCAACCATTTGCCTAATGCCCTGGACTTAATCCGGGGGAGGAAACTAGGACGTTAATAATTGAAATGTAACGATTAGGCACTCAGCCGTATAAATTCCATTGTTTTTTTACATTTCTTTTTATGTAATGGTTTGGCAACGTTAGAAGATTGTGAGCAGCTGTCTGGAACCACTCTACTATCACTGGAATAGACTGTGACATTGACCTAACTAGTGGGCTTGGTGCAAATAGTTATGAACTTTTTCTCTCTCTCTCGCTGAAGATTAGTTTGAGAGAAAAGTATTTAGGAATAATAATAATTGATTATAATAGTTTGAAAAAGTAAAAAAAAAATACTAGCAACAGGGCATCGTCACTGTACGTAGTACTTCACACAACAACAAACGCTTACCCAGCGCTCATCTGGATTAGCAAGGGCGTCACGTTCAGGATTCTGATTATTCTTGGCATTTACAGAAAGCAGCCTCTGATTTTAGATGACCACCTTGAGGCATCTTCAAAGGTATTGAGGTGTCTCGTTACCTCCTTAGGCACCTAAGTTCCCCCATTTAGGCATTCAGCAGCCTTCTAGTCCCATAGATGTCTAAGTTTCCGCTGGCCAGCATCCATAAAACTGCCTAAATCCTGACACCATCCCACAACTAACGAGCCACTGAGCGTCCTAGCATAGGCCAAGGCCCCTCCACAGAATTCTCAAATTAGTCGGAGGAATATCTATCTTGCCAGCAGGGTCTGATCCTTTAGGCATGTTCTGAGCACACCTAACAGCTACTGGACTCCCCACAGCATAGCTTCACAGAGTCCAAAGCCCGAAGCGATCATTGTGCTCATCTAGTCTGACCACCTGTATGACTCAGGCCAGAGAACTGCCTCAAAATAAGGCAGAGGGCTGGCTGCAGGCCTCCAGTAGGTAAGGGGGGCAGCACAGCAGCCGCACAAAAGACAAACGGGGGCCCAGGGATCTATGGGGTGAGCATGAGGGAGGTACTGAGTGTGGCAGGAGTGAGAGAAATAATTTTGACGGCTACAGCAGGGGCTACTTAAGTGCCTACCTTCCCCTGACTGCAGGGAGAGCTCTGGGCGCTCAGCACTTCTGAAATCAGCCCCTGCGGGCGTCTGACGTTGGCCACCTAAAGGTTGAGGCATCTAAAATTTGTCAGTTTGTCCCGACACTTCACCCCTCACCGTGCTTAAGAAGATTCCAACGGCCTTGCGCCTGGGCATGAAGTTTCCTACCTTGATAGCACTGATGGGGGTTTTTGGACCAGCCGGGTGTATCCTCTAGGCCCAATTACCTGCAACAGCAGGAGGAAGGAGAAGGGGGTTATTGCTGGAGCTAGGGCTTTGGAGTCATCGTCTGTATGACTGACTCCATTGTGGAAGGGGCAAGAGAACTGACTCGGCGCGGGGTCCTCTGTGTCATTTGAATTTCCCTCCCCATTGCTTCTCTTTAGCTGCACCTGGCGTGCCCAAGGCCGTAGCGCGCAGTGAAGTGCAGCATGATTGCCTTCCCGGCAGTGTTTCATCAGCACCGGCCTGGTATCATTCTTCATCCAGCCTTCTCCCCCCTACCCACCCCAGCCGCTGATGACAGTGGCGAATATGGGAAATGGCTTGACACAGCAGCGGTAGTATGAGAGCGTGCGCTTCTCCTCCACATGCCTTATCCGGAAGGCTTTATGCAGGGTGGAGCGCCCAGTGCCATCACAAGCACACTCTCAACCTTACCAAGCTGGACAGTGTAACGCTGCAATACGGCCCCCACCTTGCAATGGAGTGACTTGAGGCTCTGACTCAGTTAATGCCTGGCATTATTAGGCAAACCAAGCGAGCCCCACAGGCCAAATCCCACTGATGCCAACGAGAGCTTTTCCTGAGTAAGGACTTCAGGAAGTTACCCCCTTCTAAACAACATTTCCCCAGGATCCTCGCCAGCTGCGGGGAGCCCTCCACAGGTGGCATTAGGAAGTTGTGTTGGAAATTCTGCAGGGGGAGCTGCTCTGTGTGAATCAGCAGGGTGTCAGCCAGTACCATTCGGCTGGACATTAGCTGCTATTTGTTATTCTGTTTAACATGCTTCAGTCCGCCAGTAAGGGGCAGAAACCATATAATGTGACTTGACTGGGTTAGCACAGCCCGTGACTAATGGATAGCAACAAGACGCGGTGAACAGCTCCCTGCCAATCCATGCGCTAACGTTTTTTCAAATTGGGTGCAATTCAAGGTCAATGCACCACTACTTTGAGGACTTCAGTGCTACACAGACTTTGTGCTGGATCTATGGACGGGTGCGGGTTATCACCCATAATCCATTTGGCGAATATTTACAAATATATTCACAGCTATCATGATCGATATGCAAATAGCACCAAGGGCTAAATTTACAACAATGGTTGTTTGCGATGAGTAATCAACACTTGCTGAGCGCTGAAATGGGCAGCCCCTTGGAAACAGGAGTCGATCTTGGCCTATCAATGACCTATTTGATCTTTTCCATCTCTGAGCCAGGGACTACAATCCGGCGCACTCACACAACAGCAACAGGCAACCGCGTGGCTTAACTTTAAAAAAATGTTTTATTTCAAGATCTTTCTTTTTTTTGTTTTTAACTCGTATTTCAAAAAAAGTTGGGTAAAAGTACAAAAAAAGTCAGTTGAGTAACAGCAAAGATTTAGAAATCACAGCCGTGGAACTAACCCAAGCAATATACAGACAGAGCACATACCAGACAACCCAATGGACACAATTCATCTGAAGAGCATTTTGATTCTTCTTTTGTATTATTTTTTCTCTGTACAAAATACACCAAAGCATGCCATGGAGCCAGGGGGAAAAAATATAACAAACAGTTACTAGAAATGAGAGTTGTACAATAGGAAATGGAGTGTGCTCTCTCTCTCTCTCTCTCTCCTCCTCTCAGTTTCCTTCATGTCAAGTTGTTCTGCAGACAGTTCACACCGGACTCATCCTGTTCGCCCTTCCCATTATCATGCTTGGGCGACATGGAGTTCTGAATATTAAATGATTCCTCTTCTTTCATGCAGGATTTCAGAGAGTCCTGCAGTTTGTGGGGAGCATTGGGGTCATCCTAGAAAAGAAAGAGGGGAAAAAAGAAGGGAGAAGAGAGGTCACAGAGGGGGCTCTGATGGAGGCCAGAGTAGCTGGAGAAACCCTGCCCCTCTTTATTAGCAGAGCACTGAGAAAGCAGGGGGTGATCATACAGGAGAAATAGCACTGCATGTTGGAGCAGAGGGGCTCCCTCGCTGTGAATTACCATAGAAGGCTCCCAGCCGGCCTGTCACCCACGCTCATCCCACCTGCCATCCTCTCGGACATGTAGTGCCACGAGACCCCGTGACTCAGCTTTGAAACAAACCCACAATGAATTAAATCTGCTCTCAGTGAGTTACTGCATGGCTTTGCTCTCAGCACTGAAAGCCACTGAGCATATACAAAGGACCCTGCCTGCCTTAGGGGCCAGCTGCCGTCATGCATCCTGTCACAGCAATGGAGACTGCCCAAGCTGGGTTCAGTTTCGAGAAGGCAAGAGGCAGGGCTGGGGAATCGTGTCCTCCTCGACACACATCCTTCGGGGGGGAGGATTGAGATTGTTTTGTTTCCTCCTCATGTTGCTGATGTAGATTGTATAGGTCCCTATTGTTTACTAGGGTTTCCCAGACACGGCTTCCACGCTAAGATTTAGGATGCTAGAGCCCCTAATGAACAATCGTACTGAGCCCTTTCCACCTGCAGATGTCAAAGCACTTTACGAAGTCAGGGGAGGGACTAACAGTTAATGTATCTGCCCCTGCACTAATTGGTCCTGCTAGGTAAGCCACAGGAATTAAATCTCTTAACACCCTGATGAGACAGGTTGCCAGTGTCATCATAGGCGCCGACTCCGTGGGTGTTCAGGGGCTGGAACACCCATGGGGAAAAATTGGTGGGAGCTAGGGTGACCAGACAGCAAGTGTGAAAAATCGGGACAGGGAGTGGGGGGTAATAGGAGCCTATATAAGAAAAAGACCCCAAAATCAGGACTGTCCCTATAAAATCGGGACATCTGGTCACCCTAGTGGGAGCTGAGCACCCACCTGCAGCTCCCCGCCCTGCCCCCATGCCCTAGCTCACCTCCGCCTCCTCCCCTGAGCACGCCGCGTGCCCGCTTTCCCCCCTCCCTCCCAACGCTTGCGCCATGAAACAGCTGTTTTGCGTGGCAAGTGCTGGGAGGGAGGGCAGAAGAGGGGAAACACGGCGCGCACGGGGAAGAGGCGGGGCCAGGGATTTGGGGAAGGGGTCCAATAGGGGCAGGGAGGGGGTGGAGTTGGGGCAGGGACTTTGGGGAAGGGGTTGGAATGGGGGCGGGGCCAGGGAGACACGAGCACCCACCGGCGCCGGGGAAACTTGGCACCTATGAGTGTCATCACCGTAATCTTTTGCAGAGGAGGACACTGAGCAGAGTCACTCAGCCAATCAGCGGCAGAACCAGGAATAGAAACTGGGAGTCCTGATTCCCAACCCCCTCATCGTACACCATCCTTCACCCCCGTCTTATATTGGAATTGGAAAAGGTCCAGAAAAGGGCAACAGAAATGATAAGGGGTATGGAATGACTTCTGTATGAGGAGAGATTAATAAATCTGGGACTTTTCAGCTTGGAAAAGAGACGACTAAGGGGGGATATGACAGAGGTCTATAAAATCATGACTGCTGTGGAGAAAGTAAATAAGGAAGTGTTATTTACTCCTTCTCATAACACAGGAACTAGGGGCCACCAAATGAAATTAATAGGCAGCAAATTCAAAAGAAACAAAAAGAAGTATTTTTTCGCACAATGTAGTCAAGCTGTGGAACTCCTTGCCAGAGGACATTGTGAAGGCCAAGGCTATAACAGTGTTAAAAAAAATCTAGATAAGTTCATGGAGGATAGGTCATCAATGACTGTTAGCCAGGCTGGGCAGGGATGGTGTCCCTAGTCTCTGTTTGCCAGAAGCTGGGAATGGGTGACAGGGGATGGATCACTTGATGATTCCCTGTCCTGTTCATTCCCTCTGGGGCACCTGGCATTGGCCATTGTCGGCAGACAGGATACTGGGCTAGATGGACCTTTGGACTATGTTCTTCCAAAAAAAAAAATACACTGCTGACAAGTATGCCAATGCCATACCCTCATCGGAGCCAGCCAGGGTTCTTCACAAGCCCCTTGGTCCTGGGAGAGCTTCTTCGGCAGGGCCCCAGCATTACGGATGGTGCAGGCAAGGCATCTGGCAGGCTGGGTGTCTGAGAGGGAGCTGCTGTTTTGGAGGGAGCATGAAGAGCTCCTGGGGATCTTTCTGGGGGCCCCAAACAGCAGAGCCTAACCCACTTGCTCAAGCCCCTTCAGATGTCCTTTGCACCTGCCACACCAGGAGGCCCTCTGGGCTGTACAATCTACATGATCACATGAATCTTAAAGGACTGCAAAGACAGATGTAGCTGGCATCCCCTGGGGCTGGCATAGCCTCCAGCAGCTCTGGGCTAGCTCACACCTCTGCCCATTGCACCTCACTCCTGACCAGCAGCCCTTCTGCTCTTCCACTTGTGGGTTCTTTCCCAGCTCTGCCGAGGCGCCTCACTCCTGCTGTGCCAGTCCTGCCTCCCACAGCCTTTCAGCCCCGCTCTGCCACACCACCTCCACTCCCATTTGCAACAGCCTCTGCTTTTCCGACCCCTGCCTCCCCTGGCTACAGAGATTTTTAACGGCTGATCCTGCCGCACTGACCTGTTAACATGCTGCCTCTCTGCTGTGCTGCCCAACCATTGCACCATCAATTCCCTCAGGGATTTGGGGGGTTTGTCTGCACTCCATATAACAATAATTCTACAGACAATGAATCAAGTCCATTGATGGGAGGTTTGCTACTTGAGCATGGTCCCATGAGCCACTCCAGAAATCAGGAGGAATCTGCCTGTAGTAAGGCGTGAGCTGGTACCTTTAGATCTAAAGGCATTCTGGATTGCTCACTTGAACTAAAGGGAGAAAGCAACAGAGAGTCCTGTGGCACCTTTAAGACAAACAGATGTATTGGAGCACAAGCTTTCGTGGGTGAATACCCACTTCGTCAGACGCATGTGACGGAAGTGGGTATTCATCCACAAAAGCTTAGGCTCCAATACATCTGTTAGTCTTAAAGGTGCCACAGGACTCTCTGTTGCTTTTTACAGATCCAGACTAACACGGCTACCCCTCTGATAAAGGGAGAAAGTCATTAGTAGCGACTAACATCACTTCCAGACCTCCAGCCACTAGAGCGCGAGATGAGTCCAGCCCTGTGAAAGGTCAATACCGTATTTGCAGCACTGCGCTCTACTGGATGGAATCAGTACTGCTATGCTGGGTGTCATAGGTGCTATACTTCTAGCAGGTAAAGGAGATTCTCTTTTGGCTCAACTCCTAGGAGCCTATGCTTTTGGAGGAGGAGGAGGAGGATCTGAGCTCTGTCCCCAGTGCTGTTGGGAAGTTCTGCATGGCCATGATAGGCAGCATAATGAAGACCTAGTCAGTTGCAGGCTCCTTGCAGTATTTTAGTATGCAACATACTGCATACGAGAAAACAAATGCAACAAATAATGAATTCGTATCTATTAGCGGGTGCTACGCTGAGAAACTGGCTGCCTGCCAAGAGCCCAGAGAAGGGTTAGCTAATCATGTTGACACACTGAAGTAGCACGTTCGACCGGCAGGCTAAATTAAATGCCGTCCCAATCATTGATTCTTTGCACATCAAGTAACTGTGTTTATGTAGCTGTGGAGCGAGAGATGCAAATTCTGAGACTCAAAGTGCTCCAACCTGATCAGATCTGTCCAGTGGTAGCTCCCTGTCACAAAATACTCATCTTTAGGCCAGTTTCTCCTTACCAGTTCTTCCCCCCATTTAACTGAGCGTGGTGAAGGTAGTAGGTTAATATCCCTGGAGACTGAGCTCCCCTCTGTGTGCACAGGACAGGTAAAGCCTGGACAGCTTCAGTGGAGGATTCATACATGTTAAGGCCGAGGGGACCACTGTGATCATCTGGTCTGTCCTCCGATATAACACAAGCCAGAGACTCTCACCCAGCGAGCCCCCTAACTTCTCACACACCTCACTCTGCCAATCTGCCTGCCTTAGCCCCACTCTGGGGATGGGAGGGCAGTTCATTCTCCAGGGCCAGTTCAAACCTATAGTCAGCTGTGGTGGTGGATTCTGAGATGGGGAAACCCAGACACCCCCCAGCCTGCTTCCCACAGACCGCTAGCCTGGATTCAAAGCCAGGCTCTAGAAGGGGAAGGTGCCACCCTCTGGAACCAATCCTTGAAGCCATCTAGTCTGCCATTGCTGCAAGGTTTTGTTTGTGTTGGTGAGAAGGGAAAGAAAGCAAACGAAGCAGCTCAAAGCCAGAGCACAGGGTTTGGAGAAGACACCTGGAACAGGTCTGATCCTTGCGCTCCTTCCTCTCCGCTGAGCCAAACTCCCATTACACAGGAGCAAGCCCATGGGATGTAACAGTGACCAGGAAGGATGATGATCTGCAGAGCAGTCAGGAGAAAGGGGCCATCTCCTGTGCACAGCTCCTTACCCAGCCAACTTAGGCAGCTGCTAGACCTGGGAAGCAATGGGTCAGACCAGGGGAAGAGAGAGGACTTGATTATACTGATGGTTGATGGTCCCCTAGCCTCATAGATCCAGATGCCAAATGGCCCATATATTAGTGCTGCTAAGTTTCTCTCGTATTTCTCAAGATGTGGCCAATGTCTTCCACCCTGGCGGGGGGAAATGAATGGCTCCTTCATTTCTCTAGTGGAGCCCTCAGGATCTCTCCTCCCGGCCCCCGCGAGCCATTCAGCTCAGCGGGTTAGTGCACAGTCCTAAGGACAGGGAGATTAATGGCTACGAACCAAGGAAGGCCAGTTGTGGTGAGAGGAGCGAGAGATAAGGAGAGTTGGGTTCTTGTCCCAACCCTGATACTGGCCTCCTGGCATGACCTTGGGCAAGTCACTTGGCTTCTCTCTGTTTCTGATTTTCGCCCTCTGAAACATAAGGCAATATTATTCCAACTGTGGGGAAGTGTTTTTGAGCTCTAGAGGATAAGTGCAAACCCCCATGGCCTGAAATCTAGCAGTGCTGTTCCAATATCAGCCAGAGGGGACACTGCACTCTCTAGCCTCAAATAGCTGTACTGCACAGTGTTACTGTGTGCTGTGAATCAAGTGCCGGGATCCACCCCAGAGAGGGCTGCATTTCAGTGGTGGGTGAAGTGATCCATGTATATCCATCCCCTTCTTCTCAGGGGTGCTGTGGGAGTGGGTGCCAAGCGCTTTGAGATCCCCAATGAAGGGAGCTATAGAAGAGTGAGCATCATTCTCTGTCCTACCCAAAGGTCAGGATCGTTAGAAGAGCTAGATTAATCCAGAGGTTTTGGCTTGCGACTCAGTGCTCACTTTCAGGTGCGAGTCAGGGGATGGGAAGAGGAGACCAAGAGGTGACAGGTTAGTTTTAGCCCCCAATGGTGGCATTCGCCGCACTCAGGTCCTAACCTTACAACCCCTTCCTACCGAGAGGCAAAGGGGAAGCTCTGGGTGAGCAGCTGACCTGTACTTGCCCTTAGCTGGGCATGCTCTACAGTTTGCTTCTTCGGCTCCCTTTTTTGACTGGGAGTAAGGAGCTCGGCGGTGCCCCTGGTCAGGCACAGAGAGGAAGCCCAGCCTGTGGAAGATTCAGCAGGGTGCAAACCCACTGGGCCCAGGTGGACAGGCCAAGAGTGGCCTCCTGAGGTAAGACCCCTTTGCTGGGAAACTGGAGGGGGGCATGCAGGAGCTCTCAGGCACCCTACCCTTGGCTGTGTCCCATCTGGCTGCCTCCTGCTCCCATGCTGCTGTGTCAGCACCACTCACTCCTCAAGGCACCCTGCTTGCTCCGAAGGGGCAGAGCGGGCACAGGGACGTGGAGAGGTGAGCTGGGGGCACCGGGGAAATGGGAGAGAGAGGGAGGGAGCCGGAGGGAGGGCAGAGAAAGGGCAGCAGGGAAAAATGCTCCCTGGATTTCAGGGATCAGTGACCCACATCATCCCAGATATGGCGGGGCAGGACCCTGCAATGTCCCATGCATGGTGACACAATGGGTCCCTCAAAATCTTATGCTCAGAGGGTCCCACAGTGTCCCACATACAGAGCGTCCCACAATGCCCTGTGGTTGGGGGCACAGTACCCACAATGCTCCACATTGGGAGTGCTGGTCCCACAGCATTTCCTGTGTCATGGGTCAGCTCAGCATCTCCTATTTCAGGGATTTGTGTTGCCCATTTGAGGGCTTGAGACCCCTATATCCATGTACAACACCCAGGGCTCAGACGTCCCCCCCCCCCCCA